CAACCGAATACGGGTCACAAGCCTGTTGTATCCCGTATGTATAAATTACCAGTGGAGTTTTAGATTTGATGTAAACATGATGGCATATTAACAGACCACAGTGTGCCAAAATTGGAAACAGCTGGCTCATGGGCACACACACACACGTACCTACCTACCTACCTACCTACCTACACACACACACACACACACACACATACATACATACATACATACATACATACATACATACATACATACATACATACATACATACATACATACATACATACATACATACATACATACATACATACATACATACATACATACATACATAAAGGTGTACCTCAGTCCTATATGTACTCGGGCCCATGTTTTTACTATTTTTATTAATTCTAATCAAGGAAGGCTATGACACACTTGCACGAAGGCTATGACACACTTGCACTTGCTCGCCACAAATTTAATCATAAGAAGTATATTTGGAAACGAAGTATACGCATCGTATTAGGTTGTTTTCAGGCAATTAAATCAAAGCAAACCCTGACAGGTTCAAATATATCTCACCTGAAAAGAAAATTAACGAAAGTATTGAGACTGTCTTCTCCAACAAAACTAAGGTGTATATCGTGAAGATTAGTAAAACTACCTGAGGTCACATTGAACGTTTATTTACCTTTGATCAACTAACCACTGAGATCTGTCCAAAAGCATCTAAATATACAAATTTGTTCAAAGGTAACCTGTTCAAACGAAATATGGTCATGCCAAATGGACAATAGACTGTGCATGAAGCACGAGTATATATGTATTTCCCTCTCAATATGGCATTTGCAGGTAGTGAGTCATCTCCATAAAAAGTTCTAAGATTTATCTTGAACGAATTCAGGTAATGTTATTCTGAACTCTTTGATGTGATAAATCTTTCTGATCTCCATTCCCGACGGATGAAAATTTTTGCACCTGAAGTTTTCATATTAACGAAGAAAAACATAAATGTACAGTAAAATTCATTGATCTTATATTTACAAAAATATTGTAGATGTGCAAAAATATTGTAGGAATATCCATGTGTTGGCTACATTTGTTTAGGCGCGCAGCAGCTAAATACTGGAATTCTCTTCAGAATACCTCAGATTTAAAATTTTTTAAAAATCCCAAATAAGTTCCTGGTTTGGGATCCAGTAGAAATGTCCTTGGTCTTTTTCATCGCATGTTAGAAAAATAATCATATGTAAAATTTGTCCCTTTTGACCTACCCTCTTGCCGATGGTTGTTATGTCTTAGCATCTTCATTATAGTCGTAGTGACTGGATGGTTTTGTCGTAGTGACTGGATGAAATTATTCGAAACCGAATAATTTCTTAGTTTTGTTGAATATAAAGTTGCACGAATAACACTGAAATTGAAACGTGCAGATATTTCTTTGATTATTGAAAAGCCGTTTTCCATTTTAGACATATAAAGATTGCACTCTTTAGTCTTGTACATTGCTTGGGTTTGAACTTGAAAGGAACAAAGAATTTTCGTTGTTCCATGCTGGTTGTCCTGTTCATTTAAAGGAAACATTCAACATCTTAGGTATTGTTAAAATAACTTTCACTTTCCTTTGTTTTACTTTTTGACTGAGTGTATGTTGGCTTAATGAATATACAACTTGGCCTTACTTAAGATATCCAACAATCAAGAAACAGCGTGTCTTTACTTCAGATATCCGCCGAACAAAAAAAAAAAAAAAAACTGCTTGGCATTCTTTCAGATATTCACCGATCAAAAAACTGCTACCGCCACTTGGCATTTCCTCTTTATAGACTTCAAAGGTTTATTGTTGAAAAATCAATCTTTATACATTTTATATATTTTGTAATTCGTTGAGCTTTCGTGTGATAGCGTCAATTACCCTCGAAAAATTCGTTTTGCTTATTTTAATAATTGCTAAAGTTATTGTTCTTCGGAATAGTTCAGGCTGACTTATGGTGCATATAGGAGTAAAATAAGTTGACCCGCTGTGCGTATATTGTGTACAATTTCCACACTTAAAACATCTACATAAATTTTAGACAATTCATGAAAGTAGCATAGAGTTAAGCAGACAATCTCTCCACTGTGCATGCTGCGGATCCAAACAACACAACCTAAAACAACTCACTCGGTCAAAAGTATGTAACATCTATGGTTCGCCAAAACCTATGCGTCTGCACACGTACCCGGATGTTGGACCAATTTGGAAAGCATCCCTATGAATACCTTCGAGTTTGTTTCACAGCGTTAACATTATTAGACTCGAAAAAAGACGAGTGTTCCTAATGGAATGCTCCGTGTGTAGACAACACCAAAGAAGTTGTTAATGCATCCGACTCTGAAGAAAACGTCTTATTAAAAATTGTGGAATAAACAAAGGATTATATGTATGTATGTATGTATGTATGTATGTATGTATGTATGTATGTATGTATGTATGTATGTATGTATGTATGTATGTATGTATGTGTGTGTGTGTGTGTGTGTGTGTATGTATGTATGTATGTATGTATGTATGTATGTATGTATGTATGTATGTATGTATGTATATAAATGTGTATGTGTATGTGTATATGTATGTATATATATATGTATATATATATATATATATGTATATATATATATATATATATATATTAAACAAAAAATATATATATATATATATATATATATATATATATATATATATATATATATATATATATATATATATATGTGTGTGTGTGTGTGTGTGTGTGTTTGTGTGTGAATCATTTACGCACACAGACACCATTTATAGACAACTATCTCTCAGACACGCATGCATACACAAACACACCCAATGAACTGATCATTGTGTGTGTGTGTGAAAACAAACAAACACACACACACATACACACACACACACACACACACATCTCATCAGGTAGTATAGCGGGCTCTGACTCACCAACCAGAAAGAAATGTAATCAAAATGATCGAGCTTTTCCAGCCGTCGTGGAGTGTATAATCTTTCATGTGTTGATGTTTCATAACACGCCATGTTGATGTTTCATAACACGCCACCAAACTAACTCTCTCTCTCTCTCTCTCTCTCTCTCTCTCTCTCTCTCTCTCTCTCTCTCTCTCTCTCTCTCTCTCTCTCTCTCTCTCTCTCTCTCTCTCTCTCTCTCTCTCTCTCTCTCTGTAGTGCAATTGCAATCATTTCTAATAGTCATACAATAAATAATGCGCATTGAGAAGACAGGAATTATAGCAGAGTATGATCCAAGATTTCCTTCCTTCCTAAGTCCCATTCAAATATTTTTGTTATTGTGAATGAATCTCGATATACTAGGCTCACAGGGTACGTAAAAACCGAAAAGGCATGTTTGACGTCATAACTGTGTGAATAGTTGGCTATAAAAAGTAGACGACTATATCTGTGGTGGGCGTTTAGAACAAAAAAACACAACAAACCAACAACAGTTGGATGTATTTAGGTATATGCGTTAAGTAAATCATTTTTTAGAGGAAGCCCTTGCCGGAAAAGTCAGTCTTTTCTATTAAAGGACGACTAACAATTTATAGTTGAGCAATATATATATATATATATATATATATATATATATATATATATATATATATATATATATATATATATATATATATATATATATATATATCTATATATATATATATATATATATATATATATATATATATATATATATATATATATATATATATATATATATATATATATATATATATATATATATATATAAAATAATTATAATCTAGTTTGGGAACATCTAATTTTATGTTGACAAAACTGTTTTTAATATTTATATAGAAAAATCATATTTAATTATTCACAACGTGTCGCTCTGATAAAAAAAATCGCTTTTCTATTATTGGGAGAATATGTAGCTTAATTCAGAAATTTATATCAGATTCTTGAAAATGTTTCTAGTCTGTGAATTTCTGGGTATATTATCTGAATCAGATTCTGCATATGACGTAAATGGTTTAATAGCACATCAGCAGTATTCTGGCTATATAGTACCAAGTACGTTTAGGCATGTAAAGACATACAAAATGAAGATATAGAGGCAAAAGAGTAAAAAAAAAAAAAAAAAAAAAAAAAAAAAAAAAAAAAATTAAAATATTAAAGTCTCATGTATGCCAGAAAAAGAAAATATGTAGTAGTAAAATTACATGTATATGCTTCATTACAAGGCGGTCTCATTAAAAAGCGGTATACTAGGTTGACATCGTTGTAATGAGTCGGTACTGTATTTACAACCTGTGTGTTTGCCTAAATTGCGCTCACAGACGAAATACGTTATTGGATATTACTTCAAAGGTCAAACGTAACTTTAGAATGTTCGAGATAAGGTGCCCCTGTACCGTATGGTCGTAGTTATGACTTATGTAGTCAACTTCTATGACAATAAATGTCAGTGCTAGACAATCGGTATTTATGACTTATGTATGCACTATTGATGGCAATGAAACTCCTTGTTAGACAATCCGTCCCGAGATAGGCACGTTGATACGTATAGTTTTTCACCCCATGTTGGGGTGTTGTTAACTGTAATATGTACTGTAGCTAACATGCGTTGAGTACTGTGTAGTGCGTTTTGACATACGTAAAGACAGACACGTGTTCACTATCTTAATGGAAGTACAATGACTCTAAAAACTTTCGTATTGCGAAAACAAACAATTCAGAAGACAAACAATTCTACCGAGTTCTGACCTCCTGTCCGTACCCTAATAAATGTGATGTGATGTGATTATAATTTTAAACGTATCTTTCAACTATGTTTAGTCATATCACTACGATGTCTGCAGTGTTGCAGTTTATAGTGATGTCTAGCACTGGGGCATCATACCGCAGACATGTAGCATGATGTTATCACCCACTCACATTATCATGACACCAGGCCGACCAGTCCTAACACTAACCTCTTAATGCTGAGCGCCAAGCGAGGCAACTGCAACTATTAGTGCTATTTTTTATGACTTCGGTATGACTAGACCGGGATCGAACCCCACGACCTCCCGCATCTGAGGCGGACCCTCTAACCACTAGGCCACAGGATCGGTTCCCTAATAAATGAAATCAAAGTAGAGTTGAAAAAGAGTCGGCATTTGTGCTTGTTTATCTACTAATAATACAATAATATAAGTGAATAGATGACATGAGTAAAGTAGCTGATTAGGAGATAACAGCTACGTACAAAGGTTAAAATACCAAATACGTAAACAACAACCGATGTCCAGAAAATGCAAGCTTTAATCTATCTGAAATGTACATCATACATCATAAAATGCACGTGTTTCATACAGTGCACATACGACAAAACCATCCGTACATATATTAATTAATTGTCATACACGCATAAACATCAAAATATCAAATCTAGAATACACCTTACAAACTTTACATGCCTTCAAGCAAACAGTTGAAAAGTGCAGCGTAAACCAGCCTGGCAAATTAAAAGCATGCGACATAAGTAGCCTAATTAGAAACAATAATAGTGCAGGCTGAAGTTATATACAAAGAATACGTTAGGAGATTTGAAACAGATCTTAAAAGTTATGATTCCTAAATCTAAAACAACATTTAAACAGGCCCAACTCGAATGTTACACACAAGCACGTGATATTAAGTAGTATGAGGAAATAAATAATAAACTAAACTGTTTGACAAGAAAAGGAACATCATTGTTCGATACATGCACACAGGCTACTGTTCCAATTTCTGATAATTTCTAGAGTCATTGTTTTAATTAAAGTAGGTTGAACGATGAAAATTGTGACATTTATGAAGTTTCATGCCGTAGTCGTCATACAGAAGAGCAGTGCTAATTCCTGACATTGAATAGGACTTGATCAAAATCGTCTCAGAATGGTCAGTTGCAAAGTGGCCTTTATTTGAGCTGATATTTTTACAACGTTGAGATACACTCCTACGGATGGAATTCCAAGAGCTAAAAAGTGTGCCCGAGTTTAATACGGTGGTTTCGATTGCCAAGCAATTCAATGATGAAAGCAGTATCACTTTTGCAAATACTACAAGCAGAGAGTTCAGATTAAAGAAAGTTGTGAAGCAGGTAGTTGAAGACCTTTAACAACTACATGAAAAATGCAGCACAATATTTATTTTCGTGATAGGATTTTCTCATGTCGTCAATCTCCTCAACAATATTTATTTTCGTGATAGGATTATCTCATGTCGTCAAACTCCTCAACAATATTTATTTTCGTGATAGGATTTTCTCATGTCGTCAAACTCCTCAACAATATTTATTTTCGTGATAGGATTTTCTCATGTCGTCAAACTCCTCAACAATATTTATTTTCGTGATAGAATTATCTCATGTCGTCAAACTCCTCAACAATATTTATTTTCCTGATAGGATTTTCTCATGTCGTCAAGCTCCTCAACAATATTTATTTTCGTGATAGGATTTTCTCATGTCGTCAAAATCCTCAACAATATTTATTTTCGTGATAGGATTTTGTCATGTCGTCAAACTCCTCAACAATATTTATTTTCGTGATAGGATTTTCTCATGTCGTCAATTTCCTCAACAATATTTATTTTCGTGATAGGATTTTGTCATGTCGTCAAACTCCTCAACAATATTTATTTTCATGATAGGATTTTCTCATGTCGTCAAACTCCTCAACAAGTACAGTTTGATGGTTACAATTTTTGCACAAGGCGGAAAGCAAATGATGAAAAATATTGATAAAGTGTTAAGTTATTTGACTGTTAATCGCCCTAGCAAAAGTTTTGAAGTTCGAGGAAAGATGCTGATAGAACTACAAACAGCTGATAATATTTACGACTGTTTCTTGTTTCGAGGTTAGCAATTACGACAAATAGAGAAACCACAAAGACTGCATCTATAATAGATGATGTTGGTGCTGGCAGTACAATAAAAACAACAAAATAAATGGACTGAAAAACATTATATAGCCAAAGTAATATATATATATATATATATATATATATATATATATATATATATATATATATACACACACACACACACACACACACACACACACACACTTTAATTAAATCAAACAGTTCTGGGATTTTGATGTAAATAAAAACTTTGAGAAATGTTAAACAATAAAATTCTAATTGTAACAATATATTAACTACTCTTAGAGTTCCTTGACCGGTTAGACGAGTCTGACTTGTGTATATTTTATACATTAAGAAACCGCCAGACGAGTCAGATTATGAAGGTATTAACTAAATAAAAAGAAATGTCTTCTATTACATGACGCAGCCGTAAATCATTTTTAAAATCTCGCAAAGTTGTGTTTTTGGGGTTTAGCGCTATTATCGGCACAAAATAGCCTATACATGTCGTCCAGCATAACTACTAGAGGAAGAACCAAGTTAAATGTCGGTAAAAACCGCCGACACACAGGAAACTACTTTTTGCCGAGCTCAAGACTCAACCCCCACGCTGACGTCATAGGCGAGAAGGCAGCGATCGTTAAACACAAAGGATAGCGCTTTAGACAACTAGGTTCACTGGGGTGTTTTGTTTGAAACTCGGCAGATGTGAACATTTTTGTGTGGCGTGGATAACATCACATCTTAAAACGTTTATCAATCACGACTAAAATCATATAAAATTACGTTCTACGTGTCAGAACATAGAAACTACACTGTAATACTTAAGTTAACACTATGCCATGAATTCGAATGGTGTATTACGTCATAGCATATCATTCAATAAACACGAAGCTAGTAAAATAATGACTTAGTTTTACAGATTAACTCGCTAGCCCCTAGCGCCGCGTTTATGGGGCAGGAGGTTGTAGCCTACTTCTGAGCTCTGTAGCGTTACGGTCATGTGCGACACAATAAAGTGGGTGGTATTATAGAAAGGTAGACATATGTCGCTTTACGATGCTACTAAATAATATGGATGTTCTAGTTGCAATACAAAATACAGAGGAAAAAAAAAACGTTACTTTTTGGACCCGAGTTTGTTTGTTTTTTTTTTTTTTTTCAGCCAAAATTCGCCTGAGGTCGTGATCCGGTTTTGTGTCCAGATTTCGACTTTTTGGCCTAAGATCAAAGAAAGACCAGTCTGAATTGTACACGGCCTTAGAACAATTAATTTTACTATATAGTCTCTACATCTGTTTCTCAGTACTGAACGTTCTTGTCTGTGACAATCAATACAAATCATATGTTAATCTAAAATGCCTTCAAAGATGACTTTACGGTAAAATTCTTGTCAAGGGTTGACGTGCATTTTTTGAGAGGCTGAGTGAACAAAACACTATGCAGCGGAGCACAGATTTCACTTGGGGAAAATCACTGTGGCCTTATTACTCACTGTGCACTGTCGCCGAAACACACACAGGCAACCACACCATAAGCTCACATTCTAAAGAATAAACAATTGCCTTTAAATCCTTAACCAAAGAATGCCTAAATCTAACTCTTGTATCACCACCAAACGGAGACAGAAAAAAAAAAATACGATCTTTAAAGAGACTAAATACTGAACCGGAATTATTAATTGTGTCCTGATTGCTGACACAGACAAGTGAACCTTTGCAAAAAGTAGGATAAGATGGACATTTAGAATGAAGAGTGGTCTCGACACGAAAATGATAGGTCCGTTTAGCGAAAAAAAACCCCTCCATTCTTTACCCTTCTGCTCATGCTATGGCGAAGGAGCCAATGAAAATTGATGTTTTTGAATCACATAAGCATTACGTTAACCACAAATGTCTTATAAGTCGATGTATTAGGATGTATTTAGAAATATCTCCCAAAATGGATTTCCTACTCGCATTTCAGGCGAAAATGACAAAACAAAACAAAACAAAAAAAAAAAAAACCCTCCATGGGTTAATGGGCTAAACAGTAACATATTAGAACATAAGAAATAGTGAAATATTTCAAGTTAAATAAATGAAAATGAAGACTTTCTAACTTACTACACTAACAACAAAGTCCCATTTAGTTCGTCTTCAAGCTAGTTTTACCTTTACGGCACATTCTGGGCTACATCTTGCAAAATTCTCAGGAAATGAGAGCTAAGTGCTTTTCCCAAAGCCACGCCGAGGTCGTCGACCCTGGTTGGCATAGTCGGGTATTAAACACGCGGCCTTTAGATTACATGTTCGACGCTGTAACAAATGAACTACCACATCTCCGCCCAAAAATTTCCCGCATTCAACCTAGAAAAAATTAATACATACGAATATTGAAAACTTAAATATAATTAATACAAAAAGACTCAGATATTAAAATAAGATAAATTTAATTGAGAATTGGTTTTCCCGTGAAAACAAGAAAGACGTATATATTTTTAATGATATTGTACCAAATTTTTAGAAGATAATGATTCGAAAATATGAAACTATGGTTCCGAGAAGGATGCATTAGATTTAACTGACATGTCCACAAAAGCGAACAAGCTGATTGTATATACTTCATACTATACAAACAGACCTTTTAACATACGGATTAGAAATTAAATCAATAGAGTCGATGAACTGTTATTGTTGATGTGGAAGTTGATTTAGTTAAAGCTAATAAATCTTTGAGCCCCCAATTAGCAATGCAGACGGTTAAATGATTAAAGATACGAAATGGGTGAACTTTAATAGCAACACTTGAATAGCAATTACAAGATCAATAATTCGAATTTCTAAAATACACTTCTTCCGCTTGACCGTTTTCTAGCCTATCGCATCATTTAATTCGTAGTGTGAAAAAAATTCCACCCGTCCTTGTGTACTACTCTATTTCTTCCTCCTGACTACTTTTTTGTTTACTCCTCCTCCCCTTCTATCCTTCTTTTCTATGTCGACTACACGTTGTCGATTCCGACTGCACTGTCAATCGCACTTCCGTTTACTTCTTAGAGACTCGGAAATACGAATTTGCACAGGAAGTTCTGTCCCCGAAAAGCTTCATGTGAAAACACAAAGATGGCACAATATTTCACTCAGCTCTCATATCTCACACTACACACAGCCTATCATCAGATATGGTTATTAAATTTCACTGGACACGTATCATTCACACCGAAATACGCATA